AAACCCAGAAAAAGGGCTCTGGAGGGTGTGCTTGGACTGGCCGGAAGCTCCAGGCCCTGTGCTTCTACTCCGCCCCAGACATCTCTTCCATCTCTCTGGCCCAGTTATTCCCTTTCAAGAAACTGGTGATTCAGTGAGTGAAATGTTTCCCTGAGTCCTGCCAGCCGCTCTAGATGCAACCTGAGTTGGGTTCCTGGGAACCTCTGATCTGCAGCTGGCCAGAGCACAGGTGACAATCTGGACTCACAATTGGTGTCTGAAGGGGCACAGGGCCATATTAGCGGGCTGAGCCGTTTACCCGGGTGATCAGGTGCTGTCTCCACAGTCGTGATTCAGTCTAAGTGGTTGGTGCAGAGAATGGTGGCGTGAAGAATACACACACTGTAACTCGTGTGCAGATCCAAGCCCTTCCCTCGCTCACCTGGTGTCCTCATGTGGTCTCCCTGCTGTGCGGTCCCCATCTCTTCTTAGCGACACCAGACACCGGGTCTAAGTGTCTGGGCGCACCCAGTGATCTCACTGGAACTTAACCACCTCTTTAAAGATTCTTTCTCCACATTGTTACATCCAAGGTGCTAGAGTGGAGAACCTCATCAAGATTTGGGGGACACGGTGTGTACCACATATAATAGGGGACACCAAGCATATAGTGTATAAAATTGGGGGGCACCAGGCACATAGAACATGTAATCAGGGGTACTATGCCTGTATGACATGTGTTCGGGGGCACCGTGTGTATGTGATCTCTAATCAGGGCGCTTATAGCCCCTGGTACTCAGGGCATCACCTCGGACCCCATGACGAGCTCTTTCTCCCACGGCAACGAGTGAGAAGCCAACCTGGTCAAGGACAGGCGGGCTCCTCATCGTCTTGGTTGATGTGACTCTGTGAAGCAACCGACGTGGGACATCATTTTGCACTAAACACAGAACCAGTCCTTACATGTACACCTCAGGCTCACGCCGGTGGCGCATCAACTACATCTCAGTAAAGACAGAAAAATAACCTTACCGTGAACACCTAGACACCCACCGTGCACTCTGCCAGTAGTATTTCGCTTTATTACATATCAAAAATAGTCCTCAAAATTTTTTGATCCACCTTCTTTTCTTTTTTCCATTTCAAAAAAAAAGAAACAACCCAGACATCACTACTACCCCTCGGTACTTAAGCATTCAAATCATTCGCTGGCCTTCTTATTTTTATTCTGAGGTAAAACTTGCAGTGATATGCACAAATCTATTTTTTAAACAGATTTGTCTTTTACGCTTTTTGTGTATTTTGTATTGTGGTAAAAGACACATAATAAAATTTCCCACTTTAACAATTTTTTCCATAAAATACTGTATTTGTTTCAGTGACAATCTTCACAGCAGTTTGTCAAACTTAAGAAATTGCAGGTCCCTTTTATTACTCCCTGACATCTTCTCGTCTCTTCCCTCCTGCCCTCCTCAGCCTCAGAAGCCTCACTTCATCTATTCATGTCCACTAGTTTTTATTGTATCTTGTCAAATTGTCTGCTATGCAAATGTCCAACATTTGTCCCTGTCATTCTGACTTGCTTTACTACAAATAAGAGCCTCCACCTCCCACCGTGTTACCACAAATAGCAGTGTTTTGTCTTTCATTGTGGCTGAACTACTCCTTTGTGCATGGAGAACACCTCTTCCTGGCCCAGTCCTCTCAGTGGGCCTTTGGTTGCTCCCCTGTTCTTGTTGCTGCGAATAGGAAATACACAAGTCTTAAGTGTGCCACCAGTGTGAACCCCTGTACAACCCAAACTCATCAAAACACACAACAATGCCATTCCCCCTCAAATCCCCTCAGCTCCCTTCCCAGTCAGGCCTGCCCCCTCCCCCGCCAGCCATAACCACCATTCTGATTATTTTTACCACCACCAACTATGAACTCGTCTATTCCAGAACATCATCTAAAGGGACTCATACAATATATATTCACAAAAGTCTCCTTAAACTGCCGAGTGGCCCAATGGTTAAGTCCTGGAGCGGGTAGGGGCACAGGCCAAGCCCTCCAGCCAGGACCTGCCCTTGTCTTCTATCAAGAGGAGTGGGTCCAGAGGGCTTCCTGGAGGAGGAGGCATTGCTTTCCTCCTGCCTGTCTGGCTGCTCCTTCTCTGCCTAACTGTGGGCCCCTATTCCTCTGCTTGCCCCTTCCATGCTAGGGCTGCTCAGCGTCTGGCTCTACCAGAACTTCCAAACCTGCCAGCTCCAGCCCACGGATGGGATTTATTTGGCCCACACAGTATTTTTTTTTATATATTTGAATTAGTTTTAACATTTAAAAGCTGAAGGATTTTGCTTTTAAAAATATCCATATTTCTGTCTTCTCTTGGCAATTCGGAACATCTGGCGATGCTATGTCCCTCTTCCCATATGGCAAGCATTGGCTGAAAATAAGTAGCAACACCATGTGCTCAGAGCACCCCTTACTGCCGCCCCTCCCTGCCCAGAGATTCTCCTGCATCCAAACCCTGAATGAACACCTATGGGGCTTAAGATGGTGTTGCAGTGGCATCAGCCGAAAAACCTAGAAATGCTCAATGCTCAAGGCCCCCTGGAGAATAACCACCTGTCTTCCCCAGGAGAAACAGACCCAGGGCACAAGGGCAGGAGAAGGTCAAAGAGACCACATTTCTAGCAGGCACAGCTCAAATCTGCCATCCATCGCAGGAGGCCCTGGGTTTGACTGATACAGGTGAAAGCTGTTCTCTAAAGAGGTGAGAAAGTAAACCTTCTGGGACCCAAATCATATGAGAGAGAGACAGGGAGATGGCCACAAGAGAAAGGGGCAAAGTGAAGAGCAGTGAAAGAGGAAGATTCAGTTCATCCTAATGCTGCTCTTGGGGAAGTGAAAGGGAGTTGTGTGCATGCATGACTGCGTATGTGTGTGAGTACATGCATGCGCGTGTGCGCCTGTACCCATGCGCAGGGTGGTGCAGAAACAGAGTGTGTTGAACTCCTCCTGGAAGTTAATAGAACTTACTTCCAGTTCTACCACCAACCCCAACTGATCTCTGGAATTTGAGATTAGTGTTTTTCAAATTGCAGGTCAAGAACCATCAGCCAGGTGTGAACAATGTCGGAGGCTGTGACCAGGATTTTATGTAAGAAATGAGTAAATGCGGAGTAGAGAATGTCTGTGAGCACCACCCACAGTGGAAACCCGCTTTGGCTCATGAAACTCCCTACGTGGTGCCCATGGGTGTGCCTGTTCCGGATCACCGTGGCAGATGCAGCTATGGGCCTCAGGGCCACACTTTAGAAACCCACTGCCCTCAAGTACTATCAATGCAAGGGTTCACAGCAGTCTGGTGGGAGGCATGAAAGGTCAGACTTGATCCCATAGGCAAGAGACAACCGCCAGGTATTCTTGATTACAGAGTCATGAGTCGCTAAGATGCCCCCACCCACATATACATGTCCAGCCACACACACCATGACATTGGAACCTTCTCCCCTTTAGCAAATTCAGCTTGTGGAGCAAACACTGGTTGTGGACATGACATAGGAGATTGTCCAGTCCAGGTCTTTGGGCAACCTAATCTCATCCCTTTCCCCCTCATTTTACAAAGAGGGGATCAGAGACCCCATCAAAAGAAATCACTGGGCCAGGGTAACTCAGCGCGACACACAGAGGCTCATCCGGGGATCTTCCAGGCCATGGAGCCAGCTGGTTGGGGTTGGTGGGACATGACTCAGCAAGAACCGGAGGTGGCCTGCAGGAGACCCAGGGCGGACGATGAGTCTTTGCCCTACTCTTCCTGGGTCCACCGTCACTGGTGCCAGCAATTTCCTCCTCGTCATCACCACCATCCCTGCTCGCCACCTTCACCTCATTATCATCACCGTCTTCATTATCCTCACTGTCCTCATCACCGTTCTCACCACCACCATCCTCATCCTCAGCCCCCCACCGTCTTTATTGTCCTCTCTGGCAACTCCCGCAGCCCTTTCTCTCCAGTCTCGGGCAGAGTGTTGGGATGAAGTAGGTGTAACACTAACCTCCCCTTTCTTCTCCCCACCCGGCTAGTCTCACCCCCACCCCCCGGGAGACACCAGGTGTGGGCACCCTGCGTGAAGAATCTAGTCCTGATTCACAGGGATGGGAGACCCCAGGCTAGATTCCCAGGGTTCTTAGTTTTAGTTCCGACAGGGACTGTCTGGGGGGCGCTGCCAAGTGGCCAGGTCCCCTCCGAGAGTGACAGTGTGGCCGCAGTGGGCTCCCGTGGATGGATGTAGGTCGTGACTGTGAAAATACTAGTAAACGGTAAAATGGCAAGGGGCGGAGGGATTCTTATATTCCTGGAAGTCACCCCCTCCTCGGTCAGTTTGGAGAGGCTCTTCAACACGCGGGAGGCATCCCTAGAAAGGCGGGAGGGGTCGCTGCGTGGATAAGCGAGACTGTTCTTTGGCAGGAGGAGTCCTGCAGGTGTGAGGGGTCCTTACACCTGGGCTCGCTGTACCCCCTGGGATGGGGTATTTATGAGGGAAGGTTTGGGGCCTTCTAGGGGTTGTCCTTCTCAAAGCTGGGGAGGGCTCTTACCAGATGGTGGCGTCCTTTACAGGTGCGAGCACACACACGGGAGGAAAATTTTTTTTTGATGCAACTGCCTTTTTTGTACAATGCTGAGCAAGTGCTGGCGACCTTGGCACGGACCTGAAGGTTCTTCCTAAATGTAAAGGGAACCGTATGCCGTGGGTGATCGCCCTGCGCGCGCGGCCTCGTATGGGCAAGGAAGGGTGGTTTTCTCGTCGTCTCTGGCCTGCCGCGCTCTCCCGGGGCCGCCCTGGGACGGCCGCGGCACCTGGGCACCTGCGCGGGCAGGTGGGCGCCGCCCGCGAGGCCGGTGGGCGGCCCAGGGGCGCAGTGCCCCCCGCGGCCGCCAGGGGCAGTGTCGTGCCCGCCGGCCCGCGCGGCCCGCTCTCCCCCAATCTCCGCCCCCCATCCTCGCCCTCCCCCCGCGCCGCTCCCCGAGCCCGGCCAGACCCCGCTCCGCCCGCGCCCCGCTCGGCTCCCGAGGCTCCCGCAGCCCCGGCGTCGGCCCCGCTGCGCCCTCCCCGGGGGCCATGGGGGCGCCCCCGGGCTACCGCCCCTCGGCGTGGGTGCATCTCCTCCACCAGCTGCCCCGAGCCGACTTCCAGCTCCGCCCGGTGCCCAGCGGCTTCGCGCCCCGGGAGCAGGAGTACCAGCAGGTGGGAGCGGGCCGGGGCCGGGGCGCGGGGCGCGGGGGGCAGAGCCTCTGGGTCGGCGGAGCAGGGGCTGCGGGGAGATGTCCGTGCTCCGGGGGCGAGGACCGGGCCGGACTCTGGGGTCTCTGCAGGAGCAGGAGTGTGGGGTCCGGACCTGGAGGTTCCCCCGGGACGAGCTCTGGGGGACCAGACCCCTAGCTCCTTCGCGGGGGGACTCGGGGCCTGGACCGGGGTCCCAGAGAGGGAGGGACGCCCCCAGGGTTCGCGTGTCGGGGCGCCGCGGGGGCTTGGCCTCCCGGTCCGCGGCCGCCCCTCCCTCCGCTCGCGCACCTGCTCGGGTGCCGCGGCGGGTCGGGTCGTGGCGGGTGGGGAGCGCGGGCGCGCGGGCTTGGGGACTCGGCTGAGACTGAAATGGAGAAGGGGTTCGGGGCGCAGGGCCGCGCTGGGGGTGCGCCGGAGGCGCGGGAGGAGGCGGCTCGGCAGCCCGTCCCAGGACGGCGGCCCCGGGGCGCGGAGGGAGGGTGGGGGCAGGGGCGCCGGCGCGTCCGGAGGGTGGGGCCGGCGTGGGAGCCGAGCAGAGCCCGGAGCCCGGGGGAAGGGGCCCCGGCTGGCTCAGCTCCAGGGGGGAGCAGAGCCGTCCCCTGACCCACTTTGATTCGGCCCTTGACTTTGAGACTAGAGAGGAGAAAGGCTTGGCCGGCGGGGGCGGGCGGGGGGCGCTGGGGCCCCGGGGGCCGGGGAGGGGCCGGGCTCCCTGTGGGTCTGTCTAGGCGGCTCCCGAGTCCGGGGCCTGGGGCTGGAGAGTTGGGGGGTCCAGCGAGGCGGAGATGGGCTGTGTGCAGTGTGCTGAGCTATTTGGGTCACGGCTGTGCCAGCCTGGGCAGCTCCTCCCCGCCTGCTCCGCGCTGCCCTCTCCCCACCACCAGCGGCCGCATCCCCTCACCCACAGCCAGGGTTACACAATCACACCCCCAGCGCCTGGGACGCATGCCCGCGCCCGCGCCCGCGCCCGCAGGGAGACCTTCCCACGCGGGCCGCACAGCCGTGAGTGGGGTCCTGGCACAGGGTCAGGGCCGGCGCTGGAGAGCTCACTCTGCCCCCAGTGTTCGCGCTCCTCCCAGGAGGGGCACTGCCCCGGGGAGACCAGGGGTGGGCCACAGGGGGAGGGCACCCACATTCTCACACAGGTCCACAGACTCATGCACACACGTATTCACACACATGCATACACACCTCCCCACACACTCATCACACACACACATATCCACACATGCACCACACATGCATGTCCACCAACTCAGAACCAGGCACACAGAGATCCACACATGCACCCATAACACATGCACACTCACCCATATACACACTTGCATGCACACTCACATATTCACGTATGCACACAGACACCCACACCCTCAGAGACGCGCTAACATATGCACATGCACACACACATCACATGCACATATATAGATGCACCCACATGTTCACACACCCGCACACACTGACACACACATATACTCACATATACACACTTGCATCTATAAACATACATGTACCAACTCACCTATACATACACGCCCATATAGGTCCTCATTCACGTATACACCCTCACACACGTATACTCGTGAAAATACTAGCATGCACATGCATGCATATATGCACACACTCACATTCACATATACACACTCATGTCCACACATTCCCACACACATAACACACTCACACGCCTATACATTCACATAGGCATGCACCCTCACTCACACATCACACAGGCACACATTCACACGCTTTCTTTTTCTCTCACTCACACATACACCACCGGAGACCACTCGCAGACTTAAGAAACCATGCCCAGAAACACAAATGCCCACAGGCCACTCCCACACCTGCAGACCAAGACACACACTCACCTGCATGGCCTTACCCAGCAGATGGACTCACAAAGCGGAGATACCCAGTCTCACAGCTAGAAACACGGACAGCCCACAGTGTGTGCCACATGTACCACATGCATCACACACCACACTCATCGCCCAGGCACACACAGTCACACTCACACATTCCTCATGGCAAGGACAAAGGCTGAAACACTGTGGCTTAGGGGAAACAGCCTTGTGAGTCCAGGGGTCTGATTCTGTCCCCAGGGCTGCCTCTACTGTGCTGTGTGACTCCAGATAAGCCCCGGCCCGGCCTCAGGGGCGTCTGAGAAGCAAGACAAGACATTGCCCGGGGCTGCTTGAAACCCTGCTTTATATTTATCCCACTCTGCTCTGCAAGGCTTCCCTGCACAGACAGGCGTTCTCCCTCTGTCTCCCTCTCCTTCACCCCACTCCCAGGTCCTCACTCTCTCTATCTCCCTGTCTCCCCCTTGGAGCCTTGCACACACACATACACGCATGTGCACTCACTGTCACGGATGCTCTCACGTCCCCCACCCCATGAGTGCCTGGGTGACAGACTCGCATGGGGTGGGTGTGTGGAGCTCACCAGCAGGGGGGAGAGAGCAGTGAGCAGGGAGGGTGGGCAGGGAGGAGGGACTAGGAAGCCGCCACCCCCAACCTGTGGCCAAGAACCTGCCCCTGCCACCCCCTGAGCCCCCCACTGTTCCGTAACCCAGGTCTCCCCAGGTTCTGGAAGATGCCCTTTCCAACCATCTGGTGTGTGTGTAGGGGGGAACTGAGGCTCAAAGAGGGGCCCTGGCCAAAGATCACACAGCCCCTGGAGGCAGACCAGGCCTCCCTGTTGGAAGAGCCTCCAGCCACCCAGCCCAAGTCCTGGATCCCAGCTGCCAGCTTGGGTGGAGCTGGGCACCTCGTGTTTCCCTACAAACCTGGATAGCACAGGATGGCCCCCACCTAGGGAGGGACACCTTCCCCGTCTGCCCTAATCCCGTGGTCGGAACCTCTAGCCACGGGGGGAGAGAGCTGCGGGACCCCCTGAGACTGCTGTGGTCCCCCCTTCCAGGCCCTGTTGCTGGTGGTGGCCTTGGCTGGCTTGGGCTTGGGCCTGAGCCTCATTTTCATCGCTGTCTACCTCATCCGCTTCTGCTGCTGCCGGCTCCCAGAGCCCCCTGGGGCCAAGAGCCCCCCGCCTGGGGGAGGCTGTGTCACCTGGAGCTGCATCGCGGCCCTTCTCGTCGGCTGGTAAAGGGGCCCCGGGGTGGGAGGGGCACGGGGACGGGGTTTCCTCAGCTCTGGCGGTCTTCCCGGAGGTGTCCGCAACCCCACTCCAGCCTCGCTGCCCAGAGAACCGTTCCTACTTGTGGGCTGGAGAAACTGAGGTGCAAGGGCAGTAACTTCTCACCCAAAGGGCAGCTGGCCCCTGGCAAGACAGGGTCCTGGTGAAGAGCAGCGACCAGCCTGCTGGGTTTGGCGGCTTGCTAGCAATGGGGGGTGTGACCCCGGGAGTAATGCAGTGGCCTCAGTTTCCACCTCTAACTGGGCATTATAGTGCCGGCTGCCCCCCGTGACGGTCAGACTGGACAAGGACTGGCCGGGCCTGGCTCACCTTTGTCTGCCTCAGTGTAAACTGGTGACAGCACTCATCCACTCACTCCTTCACACACCGTTTTTCTGCACACCTACTATGTGCCAGGAGCTACTGAACTGGTCAGGCTAGGCCCCGCCCTCAGGGAGACAGACACCAAGTGTGTTTTCAGTCCCAGAGCACCTGCCCTGGCCAGACCCCAGGTGGCCGGAGCTCCTCCAGTAACTGCTGGAGTGGGGCTGTCACTCGGCTTGTCAGAGGTCTGCGCCAAGCGGGACAGAAGGCAACTGTTCAAGGCCACAGGTCCAAGTCGTTCACCCAGACCCACAAGCCCAGTAGGCCCAGGGGCCTTCTGGGACACCCCTAGGAGAGAGGAACTGAGATCTGAGGGCAGCCATTGATCAGGAGCCAGCTCTGGGCACAGGGCTTGTCCCCCACAACCCCGCCAAGGCATGTTCTGCTCTCCTATCGCACAGGTTAGAGGGAGCTGTCTGGAAGCAAGTACCCCACCCCCACCCCTGCTGGTTTCTGCCACCTCTCAGTGCTGGGAGCAGCAGTGTGTGTATTTGGGGGGTGTATGAGGGGGGAGATGGGCATCCCATCTCCAAGATGCTTCCTCTTCAGGCTCCCCTAGTGAGGGTGGAAGCGGGGGTGGACAAAGGCCCTGCGGGGGAGAGACACCGCTGGTCCCCCGGGCCTGGGAACAAGAGAAGCTTTGTGGGGCTGTGAACAATGGGGTGGGGGTGCCGGGCAGGGTGTCAGATCCCAGGGCCGGGGCTGGGGTGGGAGCCTGCGTAGTCGTCGGGGGCTGGGAACTGGAAGGAGGCGTGGGCCTCCCTCCTCCCTGGTTGGGTCCTGGCCACTCCGAGGAGGGACACACGGAGGGGGGCGCTGAAGAAGGGGGGTGGGCCCGTATTCAGGCCCCACAATGGAGCTCTGTGTGTTGGCCATGGAGGGGCGGGGGCTGGTCCCTCGTCCCACATTCCCTTGCTGTCCTCCCAGCTGGCCAGGCGCTGGGTCCTGGGGCGGGGGAGGGCTGGAAGCTCCAGGCTCAGGGTGCCCCTGGTCTTGGTGCCTGGGGGCCTGCATGCCCATGACCCCCCAGAGGCAGGAGAGGGGATGCCTGGCTCTGAAGGGACTGGTGCTAGAGATGCTGGCGGCAGGAGAGGCCAGTGAGGGGCCTGCAGCCATTAGGGCTGGGAATTCCCATGCCGGGGTGGCGCGACTGGGACTCCGCTTTGGTGAGGCGCGAGTTAACTCCAGAACCCCCTTCTCTCTGCCACCACTCCACCCACCATTAGCATCACAATGACGTGCCTGGCCGGGGGAGTGGGACCTTCCTGTTGCCTTGGCAACGGGGGGGGGCAGGCTGGAGCCGTTTCTTTCCCACGACAGCCTGGACCAATGGGATGGGGGTAGGAGACGGATGGGGTGTGTGAGGAGGCGGGAGAAGGTGTCCCCCAGGGTCCCAGGGTTGTGATTCCCCCCCTTCACAGCGCGGGCATTGGCATCGGTTTCTATGGCAACAGCGAGACCAGTGATGGGGTGTCCCAGCTCAGCTCGGCCCTACTGCATGCCAACCACACGCTCAGCGCCATTGACTACCTGGTGAGGGGCCAGCGCCGGCCAGACCCCAGACCCGTGCCCACACTGGGCCCCCGCACCGCCTTCTGGGGGGAAGGGGACCTGAGTCAGAGTCAAAACCCAGACCTGAAACTGGGGACCCCCTGACTCAGACTTTCAGGTTCAAACCTGCAGACCTCAGACCACACACCTGCGCCCATCTTGACTGCAAGTTAGAATCTTGCAGCTCAACCTTAGAACGTCAGCCCAGGTGGGGGGTTCAATCCCCAGCCCCAGGATTCCAGACCCTGTGGTCAGTACCCCCTGACCGCAGACCTTAGATTTCTTGTCCACTTACAGTCCCGGGACAACAGAGCTCAGAATCGAGACCCCAGACTCAGGACAGCTGATGCCAAGGTCACGCCGGGCATCCAGACTCTACCTGGCCTGGAGCCACAGAGCCCCCACTAAATGGACTGCAGAGCCTCCTCCATCTCTTCTCCATCCTCAGAAACCCCAGTCCCCAGATCTCAGACACCCACCATAGCTCACTCGTCTGCACCCCACAACCCTGTGTCTGAACCCCTGGCTCCCCCAGCACAGCCTCTGCTGACCGCAGGCCCCTGTGTCCAGGTTTCGGAGGTGGTGGAGAGACTGGGCGAGGCCGTGAGGTCGGAGCTGACCTCTCTGGAGGAGGTGCTAGCGCAGCGCACTGAGCTGGTGGCGGCTGCCCGGGGTGCTCGACGGCAGGCGGAGACCGTGGCCCAGCAACTCCAGGGGCTGGCCTTCTGGCGGGGCGTGCCCCTGAGCCCCACGCAAGTGGCCGAAGATGTGTCCTTCGTGGAGGAGTATAGGTGAGCGGCTGCCCTTCTGCCCTGAGCGGCCCACCTGGGTGGCCGCACCCCCAGGGACGCAGCGGGGCCTGGCCTTGCTTGGATGTCATCCCCGGGGAAGGGTATGTGATAGGCGTCGGGTGGGTGGAGATCAGGGATGCCCTACAGTGCCCCCGGTGGCTCCCCGGCAGAGGACTGGCCATCCCCCCCTGCCGGCAGTCACAAGGTTGAGAGATGGACTGTCTAGAGAGGGGTCAAGTGGTTCTGGGCCACCCTCGCACCGGGTGCTCACACGCTCACTCACTCACCCCTTCAGCCACCCCTGCGCTCACTCAGCCCATGGCCGCCTCCAGGGAGCGTGGGGCTGGCAGTGGGGGCGGCGGGCAGCCAGCCCTGCAGGGTCAGAGCAGAGGCTGCGTGGAGGCGGGGGTGACTCTCCCCTTGCCACTGTGGTGGCCCAGCTCCTGCACAGCTGTGCTGGGCACAAAGGTCAGGCCTCTGTGGCCCGCTAAGCAGGTGCTAGGCGTGGTGCTGTGGCCGCAGGCGCTCCCTCTGTTCTAGTCAGTGAGTGACGCCACCGCTTGCTTAGGAGCCAACAGCCTCCCAGGCGCCGACTCACACTCTGGCTGAGTCAAGTTCATTCTGTGCCTGCGCTCTTCTAAGAACTTGAAGCCTTCTCCCCTCAGCAGCCTCACAGGGGGGAAACTGAGGCACAGGAGGCAAAGTTACTGAGTTACAAGTAGTGAGGAAGTGGGGGGCTGGCTTGGAGCCCATGTAGGCTCTTCTGGAGCACAGTGTCCTCAGGGCGTCCCCTGTGTCATCCATCTGGTTGGAGCCTGGGCATGGCCCTCCTACTCTGCAGGGCCTGGGGGCGCTGTGGCCCCTGAGGCCAGGTCCCAGCGCTCATGCATAGTCCTGCTGGGTGCGGTCCCAGGGCCCCTGGGACCTCTCTGTGCTCCAAACATGACGTGGGCCTCCACCCAGGGCCCCCATTTCACGGATGACTTGGGCTGTGGCCCGGAGTCCTGGACAGCACGTGGCCATGAGTATGGGGTATACTGGCACCATTTGTGCACCGAAGGTGGGGTTTGCTTCACACCTGAACCCCCATCCCCACAGGTGGCTGGCCTACGTCCTCCTGCTGTTGCTGGAGCTGCTGGTCTGTCTCTTCACGCTCCTGGGCCTGGCGAAGCAGAGCAAGTGGCTGGTGATCGTGTGAGTCTGGGCGGCCCTCCCCAGGGGCAGGGGGATGACTGTGGCTATCTACTGAGGGCTGTGGGCGCCCCTTCAGTTGCCTCAATCATTTGGTGAAGGAGGGCCCCCAGGGGACTGTCCTGCAGATGTGGGACCGGAGGCAGCAGGCCGCCAAGTCCGTGGCTGTGTGACTATTTCGGGGCTCGATCTGGCTGGATTGCAGGCCCACCCTCCTCCCTGACCGCTCCTTCTAGGTGCCCAGTGCTCTCTCCACGCTTGGCTTCTAATCTGTAACTCATGGAGTCCCCCACCAGTCCTGAAGAGGCAGGCTCCCTCTCCCTGTGTGCCAGCGGGGAGGCAGTTCTCAGAGAGGCTGTGCATCGCAGCCTCATCTCCTCCTGCTTCTGAGGGGCCATGCTGAGCCCACCGATGACTCCACACTCCGCCCCACCCGCCACGGGCCCCCTTTAGGCTGGGAGACTGCACAGCCAGATGGCTTTGTCTGGGGCCCTCAGCTTAGTCTGGGGCCCTCAGGATGTCTTCCTGCTTGCTGAACCCCTCCCCCATGCTGACTCCCCTAAAGCCCATCCCCAGAGAGAAGCCAGGAGGCTATTTCAGCCCAGAGGCTGTCTCCACTCTTGGGAAGAGGAGTGTGCTAGACAGAAGGGAGGCTGCCCAAGCTCTGGGGGACACGGGCCCAGATCCTTGCAAGTCAAAGCCCAAAGTTGTATAAATGGAGCACAGTTACCAGCCCCCCACCCAATCCCAAATCAAGGTTGGGGGCAGAGCCTGGCTGGGGTCCAGGTCTGGGCCTGCCAGCCCAGGGCCCCCTCCCCTCACCCAGGCAGGGCCCAGATGGTCACCCTGATGACAACCATCATGGGCCCCCAGTCCCCTCTTCTCTGCCCTAATTCTGATCTTCTGGCTCCAGAGGTTGGTGGGGATGGAGGTGGTGCTGTGCTGGGGTTTGGGGCGGAAGAGAGGAGACAGCTGGGAAGAGTCAGTAACCCAGAGTCCTGCAACCCCACTGCACCCCCACAGGATGACAGTGATGAGTCTCCTTGTTCTTGTGCTAAGCTGGGGCTCCATGGGCCTGGAGGCAGCCACAGCTGTGGTGAGTGCTGGGGCCATGAGGGCTGGCACCCTACTCCTAGATCTGGGGGTGGGGGCATTCCACTACCTTAGGTCCTAAGAGGAGGAACCTGGGGGCCAGGGTCACAGGTTCTGAGGCTGGGGCTGGTTGCCTAGGTCCTGAGGTACTGGGATCCTGAAATTTGCGGTCTGTGGGAGGACGGGCTTGGGCCTGGACTCCCGAGTCTGGGGGAAGAGGGGCTGGGGGGTGGACTCCTGGCTTCCCAGGACTGGGTGGGAGCTGGGCCCTGAGCTCTGAGGAAGCATGGAACTTTGCAGTTTTTGGTCTGACTCCCCCTCCTCTGCCACACCAGGGCCTCAGCGACTTCTGCTCCAGTCCAGACACCTACGTCCTGAACCTGACCCAGGAAGAGACTGGGCTTGGCTCAGGTGATCCCATGGACTGGTACTGGCCCTGAGGCCTCTGTGCTCTGTCCCGTCTGGTGGGGTGGGAGCGCAGTCATCAGCCAGGCCCTGGGAGCTCTCTGCATCCTGCTGGTGGGCTGGGAAAGCAAGAGGGTTGCTGTTGCTGGGATCAGGAGAGGGGGCAGCTGGGAGGACTTGGCCACTTGTGAGAAAATGTGGGGAGCAGCAGAACCCGGTTTCCGGGGCAAGCTAGGAGACCAGCATGCTGTGCCTGCTGGAGCAGCGGGAGCAGGCGCTGGGCAGGTGGTTTCGAAGGCCAGGCCACTGGCACCACTGAGGGGTCCTGAGTGGGGGAGGGGCCTCTGGCGCCGCTCCCCTCCCACCGTCCCCTGGAGGCTGGGGCCCAGGCTCATGGCCTCCCCTTTTCCCTCCCTCCTGCTTCAGACATTCTCAACTATTATTTCCTCTGCAACCAGGCCGTGTCCAACCCCTTTCAACAGGTTAGAGCCGAGGGCAAGGGGGAGGGGAGGCGGCGGGTTCTGGGGGGTGTTGCAGGCACCGGGCCCGCAGATGGGACTGCGACCCCTGGGTCCACCCGCTTGTCTTCCCGCAGAGGCTGACGCTGTCCCAGCGAGCTCTGGCCAGCATCCACTCGCAGCTGCAGGGCCTGGAGCGGGAGGCCGTTCCCCAGTTCCCGGCTGCGCAGGTGGGGCTCGGGACCCTCCTGCACAGACCCAATCCAAGGGGGGAGTCTGGGCGTCGTGGGCGGGGCCTGCACGGAGGGGCGGGGCGCCAGGCTGGGCGGGGCCTGAGGGCCCGGGCAGCACCCAGGTGGGCAGACTGAGGGGCCGGTGGGATCATGTCTCCCTGCCGTCGCAGAAGCCTCTGCTGTCCTTGGAGGAGACGCTGAACGTGACCGAAGGAAACTTCCACCAGCTCGTGGCCCTGCTGCACTGTCGCGGCCTGCACAAGGTGACCCCTGCCCCCTCCCGGATTCGTCTCTCACGGGGAGCCTCTGCCTGCACCCTGGCCCCTTCCAGTCTCTCTCCCGTTGCCCCTTGAATCTCCCTGTCTCCGTAGCTATTATCTGTTGTCTGGCTCTTCTGCGCCCACCTCCGCCTAGCCCTCCGCCCCTGTCCTCTGCAGTCCCCCTTGACGCCCCTTTACGTCCCTCTTCCCCCGCCAGTCCTCCACCTTTGCATTCCCTCCCGCTCCTCCGTGCTCCTCCTCCTCCTCTCCCCTCCTCCCCGTCCTCGAGGCTGTGCGGAGTTCGTGGGCTCTGAGCAAGGCTGCCTGGGTGCCAGTCTCAGGCAAGTCACCAATGCCTCGCGCCTCAGCCTCCTCACTTACAAAACCGGGGCTGGAGACCCAATACCTGCAAAGTTCTGTCAGTGCATCGTCTTGCGCGGCAGGGTGGGCGGACACGCAGGAGGAAGGTGCCTGCTGGGCGCCCTGCCCAGGCTGACTCCCGCTTCCACTTGCAAGGGGAGGAAGAGGAGGCCTGCTGGACCGGCGGCTGTGAGGGCTGGAGAGAACCTGTCTCCCCATGAGGAGCTCCCCAGCCACCCCCTGTGGTGGCTCCTTAGTCATCCTATCTAGAAACCGCCACTGTTGCAACCCCAGCTAGCTGACCTGCACCATGAGGGGTAGAGTTGGGGCACCCAAGGCGCCCCAGCCCATGAAGGAGGCAGGGAACTCTCTACCTCCCCGGTCCACACAGCCAGAAAGGCGCCCAGTTTCCTTCCTCCTGCTTCCAGAGTATCTCCATCCGCCCAGGTGGGAGCTATCTCAGGCTTGGCTCTGCCATGGACGCCCAACTCCTTTCAGGGTCCCCATCTCGGGCCCTCGACTCTTGAATAGGGTTGCCAGGTCCAGCAAACAAATAATTGGACCGTAATAAGCTTGTCCCAGACCCTCCCGGGGAGCTGCTGTTACCGAGAAATTTATTTGTCGGGTGTCTGAAATTCAAATCTAACTTGGCCTGGGTTTGATCTGATGACTGTACCCAGAGAGATCCATTGTTCCCCCACCCACCCGGCATGGATCTGAGCTGGGCCTTGCTGGTTCTGATGCCTTCCAGGACTCCTTCCCCACTGCCCCTAAAGCTTCTGAAACTGGCACTTTAATGGGGGTGGCGGGGGTGGAGTAGGGGCAGCACAGAATCTACTCAGATGAGCTGAGCACAGGAGCCAGAAGGTGGGCCTCCTCCAAGGTAACCCTTTAACTCAAGGGCAAACCAGGACCCCCGCATTTCTGGTTGGTGCGGGTCCCACTGGGCCAGATCAGAGCTCCTGAGACTGCTTTGTGAAGGGGGGAAGAGAAGGGGTGCAGGGGTCAGAGTCTCTACCCTGCACTGACGCACCAGGTGACCCTGGGCCTCAGTTTCCCCATCTGGGCCTCAGGATCTCACATATTAAAATCAGGACAGGGGCTTCAGGGATGAGGTGGAAGGAGCCTGACAGCCCTGGCTCTGATCCCAGCTCTGCCCCTTCCCGGCTGTGACAGGGTGAGCGCCTGGCCCTCCCTGGGCGTCACCCTGGACCACTGCAGAATGCGTCAGTGGGGGTGGGAGCTGATCTCTGCCTCGCTGGGCTTTGGAGGGCAAAAGGATGATGTGCAGGTGCCTGATCTGAGTGGCAGTTCTGGGCACCCCCACACCAGGGGCCCACGCCAGGCACCTAGGACTATCATTTCTGCTCTACCCACACCATCCACAGCATTCCACCAGCGAGTCCCGCGGCCCTTCCTCTGAGCTTATCCGGGCTCACTGTCGCCACGGCCACCCTAGTTCTTGCCCGCCACCCCTCCTGCCCAAAGGCCCCAGAGCCCATGCCCTGTCTCCTGTCTGGCCTGCCTCCCCTCCCTTCCCCACATAGCCAATAGCCAAGCAAGCCTTTAAAACCACAATCTGATCAAGTCTTTCCTCCTCTGCTCAAAATGCTCCAGCAATTTCCTTGCCCGCGGATTAAAGTGGCACCTCGCCCGACCTCCCAGGGCCTGTGGGCCCTCCCCTCAGGGCGGCTGATGCTGAGGCCTCAGGGGGGCAAGGCCCCCTCCTGGGGCTGCCTCTCTGCTGGCAGGGCCCTGGGCCAGCCTTCTGGTCCTCTGTGGCCTGAAATGACCTGCCGGGGCTGGGCTACTGCAGTTCCCCTGGAGCAGGCCCTGGCCCGCCCTGCCAGGTGGGTATGGCCCAGCAGCCGGCCGATGACGGCGCTGCCATCTCCAGGTGACAGTGAGGACAGGCCGCATTTTCAGGGCACCCTGTGTGTAGTCAAAGTTCCAGGCAGCGCTTTGCCCAGGGGACAGTGGAGAAGGGGGGGGGGGACCTTGCAAGGTGTCACCACTGGGAAGGGCACATTCCTGGCATTTGAGTGCGTGGGGCCCAGGGGAGCGGCCTGCGGCTGGGCCCTGCAGGAGACAGGCCACGCAGGGGCAGAGGACTCGGTGGTGGAGCGGCCGAGAGCGGGAACGCAGCTGCGGGTGTGATGGAATGGTGGCTGCGGCACCTGCTGCAGCTGAGCGCGTGCTCTGTGCCAGGCGCTGCTGAGCACCGGAAGAAACTGAGGCAGAGAGGCTGGGTGACTAGCCCAGCATCGCACGGCTTGGGGGAAGAGTCTGAGTCGGCACACAGCGTGCACGTGGGGGGGCCTCTCCGCTGACGGCCCCCTCCTCCCCAGGACTATGGCGCCGCCCTGCGGGGGCTGTGTGAGGACGCTCTGGAGGGGCTGCTCTTCTTGCTGCTCTTCTCCCTCCTGTCTGCTGGGGCCCTGGCCACCGCCCTCTGCAGCCTGCCTCGGGCCTGGGCCCTCTTCCCACCCAGGTCAGGAGGGAGGGGCCAGGGGCCGGGGGCGGGGAGGGCCCTCAGGCCCCTGCTGGGGGGGGTCAGCCTCCTGATGGATCCCCCATCCTGCTTCTCTGCCACTCCTCCCCATCGCACCCCAGTGACGACTATGATGACACAGACGATGATGACCCTTTCAACCCTCAGGTACTGGACTCCTGGGTGTGAGGGGAGAGGCCGGGGCCGGACTCCTGGGCCTGAGGGAGGAGGGTGGGGCCTGGGCCCCGGGTCTGAGGAGCCCAAGCCCTTATCATCTGTCTCCCATCTCCTTCGGGGCAGGAATCCAAGCGCTTCGTGCAGTGGCAGTCATCTATCTGAGCCCCTTCTCCAGGCCAGACGGGCGGCGGCCCCCCCTCTCCGGTGAGCCTCCAGAGTGACACCCTGTTCCCTAGCCAGCCCTACCCTCCCACCTCCGCCTCCGTCCCGGTGCCAATGGCCTCCACTGCATGGACCTGTCTCTGCCTCTCTCCCTGCAGCTCCTTCCCTGGCTGCCGGAGAAGACCCCACTAACCCTGCCTGACGGGCGCCCACCATTGCTAACAGCAGCCCTGGCCACGGACACCCCAAACCACTGCTCACTGTCCTGCCCCCTCAACATGTCTGAGCCCTGGGAAGAAGGTGAGGGGGCGGGCCAGTCCCTGGCAGGGAGGGGGCAGCCACCAGCCCCAGGTCCCACCCCGAAGGGACACGACACTCTGCCTAGCAGCTTGGGGCGCTCTTAACTTGCTGCACTAACTTGGGAACGGGGTGATTTGAAATAAAAGGGAAGACTTTATTTTACAAGCAGCTGGGCCCTTCTCATTTCTCCCTCCCCAACTGGCCGCCCGGTTGGGGAGGCCCCTCCCTCAGCCCGTGGCTACCAGGTGCTTCTGCCCCTGTCCAGCTCTGCAGTGGTTCCAAAGGGCTTGTTCCTTTTTAAAAAATAGGGAACATTCCCCCACGTCTAAAAGTAGCGCAGGTGTCCCGACGCACCTGGGGCAGAACAGGCGGCCTCGCCGTCCCCAGCGTGCACGGCTCTGGCAGAGACAGCTTCTGGGAAGCGGGCAGTCTGGGCGGGGGCGCAGCTGATGGGACTCGTTCTGCATGGAGCGCACCCACCCACACGCGGACGGGACGATCTGAGGGAGCACCCACCGAGGGCCAGGCTCTTCACAAGACATTGGGAGCATCTATATCGTGCGTCCTGGCCGGGAAGGGGAGGGTTAGGCAAGGCCTACTGACACCGGGAAGGTGACTTACTGGACAAACTGCAATGAGAAAAACACCATCGAGTCAAGAAGCAAACCAATAGTCTGGAGAAAATTGTTTTTGTTTTATGAAATACAGCAAAAGTGTGTTCTTCTTTATACATGAACACATAATCCTCAGTGAAAGAAACAAGAGGACTTGGAGATAAGCAGGTGAGGTGAACATCCCAACAGGAAAATCCCAAACGCCAGGGAACAGATGGTGTCAGAACTGCCACTGGAAGTTTCAGGAGACAGCAGGTCTGTGTCGCCCGCCCGGACTGCATGGGGAGACCAGAGTGAGAAAGGCACCTGCCAACCTGGAAGGGCAGGGGCTCACATTTGCTGCCCTGGACCTGCGGAGGCAGCCTGGCGGCCCAGCTCTCCTCCCAGGATCAGACCCAGCTGTGGAGACCTTCGGAGCCGAAGACCTACTTCTGGGAACCTTATCACAGAAGGAAAGCAGATGGGGACAAGGATGGGCGTTGGAGGCTGTTTGCTGTGACAATCACCAAAACCTGTATAGTCAGGCCTCAGAGAGAGGCCAGGTGGCAGGACGCCTGGAACACCTTGCCCCTGCCTAGGTTCTGGATTGTAGGGAAAGGTGGGGAGAAAGGGACCGAGCTGGTAGTGACAGCAGGGGTGTGGCCAGCGCAGAGTTAAGGAGCCAGTGAGGTGAGTCCCTGGTGGGCCTGGCCCTGCTACTCTCACCTGGATGGATGGACAAGGATGGCCACCACTGACGGCTAGACCATGAACCCACCTCTACTCAGCAGGTGTTGCAGACGGCAACCTGTTCCTCCTCTGCAGCTGCGAAGTCCAGACAGCGCTGCTGGACCAAGAGTCTTGGCAACCTCAGGGCAGCAACACCTGGCGGGCCTGGTCTATGTCATCCTGCATCCTTCCCCGCTGCAGGGGATTTAGTTGCCCCCACAGAGACATGCAGGGTTGCTTCCGTGGCCCTGCAGGTTGTGGTAAGTGTAGGCACTGCAAGCCACATTGGATCACAGGTGTAGGCAAAGCCAGGAGAGGATCAGCTGGGCAGGAGCAGTGACTGGCACACATATTCACACCAGGCTTCGCCCAGTACCTGCTCCCTGAGCTGAGCCAGGAAAACCACCTCATCCTAGGGACACTGGTGCTCAGAAGGGCCTCACGTCAGTGATGGGGGATAATCAGGCCCCATGCTGCACTGCTCCCACTGACAAACCTTAGATGTGGAACCTAAAAGGGTTCCCCAAAAGATAGTTCCCCAAATAATCATAACTGCCTCCTAGAACAAAGCTCAAGGACATTTGTAGAATGCAGAACAACCAGCAACAGAGCAAGGTGAAACTCGCAACATCTATTATGCAATTGGGAATTGTCAGGCATGTGAAGAAGCAGGAATGAAGATAAAAAATCAATTCATTGAAACTGATACAGGTGGTAGATTTAGCAGGTAAGAACACTAGCAGTCATTACACCTGGCCCCCACTCAGAGCAAGATGGAAGTTGTAAAAAAATCCAAATATGACTTGTAGAAACTACCTTGTCTGAAAATAAAAATGCTCTGGATGGAATGAACAGCAGATTTGACATCACAAGAAGAAAGATTCCTGAACGTGAAGACATGCAAATAAAAGAGAAAAAGAAAGAGTAAGAAAAGAGAAGCGATTAATGAGCTACAGGATAACTTCCAGCAGCCTAATATATGCGTGACAGGAGACCTCAGGAGAAAGAAAAGAAGGGACAGTAAAAAATACCTGAAGAAACAATAACTTGAAAATTTTGAAATTTGTTGAAAACTATAAACGCACGGAGCCGAGGCCCTCCATGCCCCAGCACAAGCGCCGTGAAAAGAAGCAGACCAGAGCACATCTCTGCCAAATGGCTCAAGAGAAAACCTTACATTGAACAAAAATGAGGATAACATGAGAGTTCTCCTCAGGGACCATGCAGATGAGAAAGACAGTGAAGCAACATCCTTACAGCAGTGAAGGGGGAAAAAGGTGAACATAGAATTCTAGATGCGGCAAAAGTATCTTTCAAAAGTGAAGATGAAACAGACTTTTCCAGACATAGAAGCTGGAAGAATCCACGTTTTGGGGTACATTAAAGGAAGCACTTCAGAAAGAAAAAAAGATACAGGATGGACATGATTTCAACCACAGAGAAGTGAAAGGCCTGGAATGGTAAATCCCATGTTATTTCTAAAATTTCTTTAGAAGATAATTGAGTATTTTAACAAAAAATAGTGATCATAGCATAAAAGCTGGAAGAAGGGAAATAGAAATATATTTGTCTTGGTTAGTTTGAGCTGCTGTAACAGAATATCAAGGACGGGGTGGCTTAGAAAAAGCAGAAAACTTATTCCTCACAGATGTGGAGGCACTGGAAATGTCGGTGTCTGATGAGGCCTGTTTCTTGGTCCACAGATGGTGCCTTCTCACTGTGCCTCCCCTCACAGGGGAGCTCTCTGGGGCCACTCATCCGTTCATGTGGGCTCCACCCTCTTGACCTACTCTGTCCCGAAGGTCCCACATCCAAACATCATCAACTTAGGGTCCCTGTTGTAACATAAATTCGAGAGTGGCGAAACAACATTTCTCCAGAGCAATAATGTTGTAGTGTTCTTACATTGTACGTGGAGTGGTACAATATCAGTCAGTGGAAGGTAGACTGTGATAGCCCCAAGATGTGTACCGTGGAGCCAACAAAGGAGAGAGAATGGCTTTGTAACAAAAGCGCCAATCTCTGGAACAAACAGTGCTGGGACAACCTTGGTTCTGGATGTCCACTTGCAAAAAAAAAAAAAAAGAGAAAGAAAAAGAAAAAAGAATCAGACACAATGCTTATACCCTTTACAAAATGTTAACTCAAAATGGATGACACGCCTAAATTAAAATGCAAAACTGGGCCTTCCTGGTGGTGCAGGAGTTAAAAGTCTCAGTGCTATCAAGCTTTCACCAGCCGCTGTGGCCTGTGTTCGATTCCTGGCCAGGAAGCTGACCCACAGGGCTCAGCAGACCTCACCTGTCTCCCCATTGCTCCCCTCAGCAGTGTATTTCAGTAGACCCACCTGTTCTGCTCCCCAGTCTGTCTCTGGTGAATCCTCTCACAACCCCCCGCCCCGCCCCGCACCTCTGGCCTATACCCCAATTCTTATATGCACAAATAAATAAATCTTAAAAAAATAAAATGCAAAGCTATGAAATTTCTAGAACATAAGAGGAAACCCACATGACCGTAGGTTTAGTGATGAAGTTTTAGATACCACACCAAAGGCAGGAAACATGAAAAAAATGTATAAGCTGGGTTTCATTGAGACCATTATGTCTGCTCTGCGAAACCTGTCAAGAGAATAAGAAGACAAGTCACAGAATGGGAGAAAATACTTGAAAAAACTTTTGACAAAGGACTATAATATGAATACACATGGAATGCAACACTCAACAATAAGAAAACAACCCAATTAAAAAATGAGTAAAAGAGCTGAACAGACACCTGACCAAAGCTAGAGATGGCAAGTAAGCATATGCAGATACTCCACATGGTGTGTCATCAGGAAGTAAACATCACAATGAGACACCATGACACACCTCTGAGAATGGCCAAAGTTCCCACTACTGACAACATCAAATGCTGGGAGAGATGTGGAGCAACAGGAATTCTCATGGCTGCTGGAAATACCAAATGGTACAGCCAAATGGGAGGACAGTTTTGTTGGTTTCTTCAAAAAACTAAACACATTCCTACCAAACCATCAGCAAGTATGCTTCTTATTATTTACTCACATGGGTTGAAAGCTTATGTCCAACAAAAACCTGCACACAGATGTTTAGAGGAGCTTTGTTCAAAACTTGGAGGCAACCAAGTTATCCTTCAGGAGGTGAATGGATAAAACTGTGGTCACTTCAGACAATGGAGTATTACTCAGCATTGAAATGAGCAATTGAGGCATGAGAAGAGATGGAGGAAACTTAAATGCATTTGACTAAGTGAAAGAAACCAATCAGAAAAAGCCACACACTGTGTGAGTCTAAATATATGACATTCTGGAAAAGGCAAAATGATGGGGCCAGTAAAAAGACGGGTGGGAGGGGTGAGTAGGTGGAGCACAATACTCTGGTGGTGACAATACTCTGTATGATACTGTAACAGTGGATTTGTATTGTTACACACTTGTTAAGCCCACTGATTGTACACCACCAAGAATGTACCTGAATGTAAACTGTGGAATTGAGGGATAATGATATGTCAATGTAGGTTCATTAGTTGTGACAAAAGTATCACTCTGGCGAGCAATGTTGATAGTCGGGGACACTGTGCCTGTGTGAAAAGTGATAAGTAGGAAATCTTGTACTTTTCCCTTCAATTTGGCTGTGAACCTGAAACTTCTCTAAAAGAAATATTTTTTAAAAATGCTCAAACCAAAAGAAGACAGGAAGAGAGGAACAAAGATGGGACAAAGTAAATGAAAATCACAAGAAGGTATGTTTAACCATCACCATACCTATAATCACATTGAAAGCACAGTTACTCACGCCCTTTAGAAGGCAGAGATTGTATGCTTGGGTAAAAAAACAAGATCCGACAATATGCTAGCTACAAGAAACCTGTCTTAAACATATAGTTTAAGGTGAAGGGATGCCTAAGTACAGTGGGGGCCCATGGCTATGACTCTGACACAGAAACAAGACTTCAGGGGGGAAGGTGATAAACTGAAATAAAGTCTGGAGTTTAGTTACAAATATGGGCTGATGTGGTTTCCTAATTTTCACAACTATAGCACAGTCTGTGAGATGACAGCATGGGGGGGGGCTCTGGATGCAGGACTTAATATATTATCTCTGCAACTTTTTGGTAAACCTAACACTGCTCTGGGACAGAAATTTTAATTAAAAAAAAAAAAAAAGGATGGAAAAATACCAACCATGCTAACAGTAACAAAATAATACATCATTATCAACAGAAAAGTTCATTATGGAAAAGCGGAAGGAAATCACCCGGCTATGATGCCAGTGACCCGTCCCTGAACTAGACCCCCGGAGGGAAACAGGCTACAGGCTGGAAAGGCTCAAAGATAAGAAAGGCGCGTGTATAGAGAGGCCTCGCCATTCCCAGGCAGGGCATCAATGGCCTTTCAGGGTCAGCTAATCGCAGCCTCTGAGGCCTCACCCCTCTTGGGTTCAGCACAACCCCTGGCTCCTTCCACGGCCCCCCAGCTCCTTGCGTCCCCGCTGAGATCCGCAGACGCGTTCCCTCCCGCCAGGTGGGCCTTCCCTAGGGCGGCTCCCTTTCCCGGTGGAGGCTGCTCCCGTCCCCGCGCGGCCACAAACTGCACGGACTCCGCACCCTAGCTTAGGCCTAAGAATAACCACGGCTCCTGCTGACCCAGCCCAAACAGGGCCTGTCAATTCGGCCTCGCATGTCCCCTCAGGGCCACCGTACCCACCCAGCCTTCCGGCTGGCCTTAAAGCGACCCGGCGTCATTGCGTAGGCGGGAGGGCTCCTGCACCGAGCGCGGCGTTCATTGGCTGTGCAGCGCCGGGGGCGGGGGGCGCGGCCTCCGTGTGACGTCAGAACGCTGCGGTCCGGACGTCTCAGCCCTAGGAAGACCGGAGCCTGCCGGGTCGCGAGCAGTCCCGCGGCCGCGTCGTTAGCGCCTTGGGCCGCTGCTGACGAGTCCCAGGGGCGAGCGGCCAAGGTGAGTGTGGGGAGCGGCGGCCGGGCGGGCGGGCGGAGACGGCGTCTCCTTTCGGCTTTAGGCCTCGCGGCTCCCGAGGCCTCGGCGGCCGTCGCAGCAACGGCCGCCGAGCGCGAGCGTCGACAGGGTGGGGCGCAGCCAGGGCCCCACGGCGCCTGCGCACCAGAGGTGGGGCGCGCGGCCGCTTACACTCGCGCCTGCGCAGTGGGCCTTTTCTACCCCCCCCTCGGAATTCCTAGGCCCCTAAGCACACCCTGCCATTGACGGGGCGGTTCCACGGCGTTGCCCGGGGCTACGGGCTGCCCCCGTCGGGTCCTCGTCTTCCGGATTTCTCGCTCCTCCGGGAAGTGGTGCGCACGCGCGGCGCGGCCCGGGCGCTGTTTCCCGGGCCTCTCTCGGGATCGGCGGGTTCTTCCACCCGGCGGCCTCCTGCCTTCCCGGGCCTGCGTGTCGGCCAGGTGCCCCTCGCCTCCCGGGCTCCGCGCCCGGCTCCAGTCTCCGCCCTCCGGCCCGGCCCCTGCCCAGGCCTATTCCCCAGTCTCCTTCCTGCGCCGGAGCTCCCCGGCCGTCCTGCGCAGGAGCCCTTGTTCCCTTCTTGTTCCCTTCCCCTGATGCCACTTGGTTTCTCCTCTAGGGCTTCTCCCTGTTGTCGGCCCCTCACTTGTAGAACTCGGTTCTCCCGCGGGACTCCCATTTGAGCCGCACGACCCTCAGGTTTAGGCCGTCGGGCCCTGCCTCCACGGTCCTGCTTTCTCCCCGACCTCCACCCTGCTCTTCCTAAAGAAGTCTTGGTTCTCTTGAGGTCGCCGCAAAGCTTTCTCCCACGCCTCGGGCTGACGGCTGCTCCCCTCTCTGCCAACCTAGCAGCTTCTTGGAACCATCCATTTAGGAGTTTTCTTCCTCCTCCGAGGTCTTTTGAACTCATTCTCTTAAGAGCTGTCTAAGGACTCATTTCTTCCCTTCAGGGGTTCTCCTGTGCACATCCTCAGCTTCTCCCTGATGCCCGAAGTATCTTCCAGAATTCTGCTCAGGTTTCTCAGGTTTCTCTCTCTCTTCTGCTTCCCCGTGGAAAGCTTTCCAGTGTTCACAGCCTTCAGGGGTCACTCAGACTTTGCTCATTAGTGTGTCCCTATTTTCGGTTTCCTCAGTAATTCTTTAGACTCCTTCCCTTTGACTGAGGACTCCCCACACTCCCCTCCCCCCCCCCATCTCAGGGTTTCCCTCAAATCCCCTCTTTCTCACATAGGTTTCACATCCTCTCCCTCTTGGAAAGAGCCTTCATTTTCTACCTAGAGAGCTGTGTTTAGGAGGCAAGGTCTTCCCCTCCTCTCGTAGCCCTTTTGTTTCACACCGGGAATCCTTTTCACATTCTGTACCTCAGTGACTTTCTCAGACTCTCTCTTACTGCCTGGCTGCTTATGAGTCCCTCTTCTCTTCCCCACTTGGTAACCTGTTTCTACTCTTTTTTTCAGTCTCTAACAGATTCTTCTCTCACTAGACAGAAAAAGCAGTCTGGCTCCCGAGGCCCACCCGTTACACCCCAAGGTCCAGATGGCGGCCAACGTGGGTGATCAACGTAGCACGGATTGGTTAGTGGGCCTAGAGGGGCAGAGGCTGGCGGGGAGGGTATGTGAGAGGAAGCAGTGTTGGCCTCTGACTTGGGCCCTCACAAGGTGTGGCAAAAGTGGTTCATAGTCCCTGGGGTGGGGATGAGGCCCTCCTCTGACCACAAGGATGAAGGTACCAAGGAGCGGGTCAGACCTTCCCCAAGCTGCGGTTTCATTTTCACAGCACAGTGCTTGTTTCACTAAGTTGTTACTCATCCCATCAGCTGGGATGGGAAGGTAGTCTGCAGCCTTTAGTAGTCTCTTATTTTTCTGTTAATACTTACTAATTCCTAGAATAGTGTAGGGTGATAATCAGCCAAAATTCATTGATTCATAAAACACTTGGACCTACTAGGCATCAGGTTCATTTTTAAGGTCTGTGGATGTTTGATTTTTAAGAACTGTGTACTGGGCACCTGAAAATACCTCAGGTAGGTCTGTCACATACACATCATAGAAGCCTGAAGTGGTATGAGGTTACCTGTGTGTCTTCAATGAGAAAATTTAGGTGCCAGCAGGTAGAGGTAGAGCTAGATTCAACTCTGCTGCGTACCTGCCTGTATTTGGCTCACCTTATGGGCAGAACAGGCTGACTCGGTTCCCCTCTGCAGGTCCTCTCAGTACAGCATGGTGGCTGGGGCAGGCAGAGAGAATGGCTTGGAGACCCCCATGCACGAGAACCCTGAGTGGGAGAAGGCCCGCCAGGCCCTGGCCAGCATCAGCAAGGCAGGGGCCGCCGGCAGCTCCGCCAAGGCCAGCAGCAATGGACCTGTGGCCAATGCACAAGTGAGAATGTCGCTTGCGTGGGGGTCTTGGAGAGGGACACTCCCCGTGTCCCCAGCACAGGGTGCTCTGAAGGCAATTAGGAGCCTTGGAGTAGGGGACACCAAGTCTGTTGGCTTGAAGAACCCAGGGCCCCATGTGCTCCTTGTCCCCAGGAACTGACCCAAAGAGGGAGACATGCTCTCACTCCTCAGGGCGCTTCATTTATTGGTGGAGATGGTGGTTCTTGGGAGTGAGGTGGACCAGCTCCCTTCCTTGACTGTCAGCTGCCGGTAGTAGGCCTGCTCCTTTGCCGCCAGCCCATGGTTTCTCTCCCCATAGTACGTGTCCCAGGCAGAAGCCTCTGCTCTGCAGCAGCAGCAGTACTACCAGTGGTATCAGCAGTACAACTATGCCTACCCTTACAGCTACTACTACCCGGTGGTGAGTGGGGGCCTGGTATGGGCTGGGGGGGGGTGGGATGGAGGGGGGCAAATATCAGTGGGGAGCTAGGGGGAGGTGATGGTTGAAGACAGCCATGAGAACTGCTAGCTTCCTACCATCCCCCACACCCCGCCTCCCTGGTCTGGCCACCTTTGCTCTCCCTGGTTTTGCCACAGTTGCCACAGAGCCCTGCCAGTAGCCAGATGCCAGGTACACACCCACTGCTCGGTGGCAGCCCCCCATGTTCCCACACTTGCTATGTGCTGTGCTCTAATTTAAAGCCTTGATCTCACATCTCACTCCGCCACTTTGTTTCTTTGTCTGGCCTGCCCTCTCTGCCTATTACCTGCGTGTTTGCAGCTCTGCTTGTGTGAACGGCTTTAAAGCAGGGGTTTTTGTTTTTTTCTTGGTTCCATTTGTAGTAGTTAAAGGAGTTAGAACTGGACAAATAGTCGTTAGGTAGAGAGATACTTTGGAAAACTAGGAAAAGTGAAATACGGAGTTGATTGGGGTTTTCTTTTATTGTGTATTTTCTTTTAACATCCACAAATTTTATATATTTTGCAGTGGAGGGAAGGGGAGCGGGTGAGCCTAGTAGAGTGTCATGGCTTGTGGGCAGGAGTGAGGGCTCAGGCCTAGACTTAAGGGAAGGAATTGGGCGCCACTAACCCTTGCCTTCCTGTGCCTTTGGCAGAGCATGTATCAGAGCTACGGCTCCCCTTCCCAGTACGGGATGGCCAGCTCCTATGGCTCAGCCACCCCCCAGCAGCAGTCAGCACCCCAGCACCAAGGGACACTGAACCAGGTAACCACCCTACCCGTTCCGGTTGCTCCGGCAGGGTAAGGTCGTCGGGGGTGTAGTGGAGACGGCCTGTGTTGTCAAAGCAGCTCCCCCGCCACCACCTTTTCTCTACTGCTGAGCGGCGCTGAGAATGAAAAGGACAGAGCGTAGTGTTTGAAGACAGGTTGGGTTCAGGCCCCGGGATGAGTGTTGAGGTGATGTTGGGGCCACTGGTGTAAAGCAGTCTGTCTTGCCCTGTCTGCACGCGCACACGCCCATATGACCCATGTACACACACATGCAGGGCGGGGCTGGAGGCATGGAGACGAGTCACGGGGCTTCTGCATCTCAGCCAGCTTTGTCAGGTGTGGGGATCTCTTCATTATGGGGTTCTGTCTGTGAGGACAGTGCCAGTGTCCTCAGTGCCAGTGGCGACTGGCTGGGTGGCACTCGGACAGCAGC